CAAACACCTGACAGATAAAACACCTGACAGATGAAACACCTGGCAGATAACAGATAAAACACCTGACAAATAACAGATAAACACCTGACAGATAAAACACCTGAAATATAAAACACCTGACAGATAACAGATAAACACCTGACAGATAAAACACCTGACAGATGAAACACCTGACAGACAACAGATAAACACCTGACAGATAAAACACCTGACATATAAAACACCTGACAAATAAAACACCTGACAGATAACAGATAAACACCTGACAGATAAAACACCTGGCAGATAACAGATAAACACCTGGCAGATAACAGATAAACACCTGATAGATAAAACACCTGACAAACACCTGATAGATGAAACACCTGGCAGATAACAGATAAAACACCTGACAGATAACAGATAAAACACCATAAAACGCCTGAAAGATAAAACACCTGACAGATAACAGATAATCACCTGACAGATAAAACACCTGACAGATTAAACACCTGGCAGATAACAGATAAAACACCTGACAGATAAACACCTGACAGATGAAACACCTGACAGATAACAGATAATCACCTGACAGATAAAACACCTGACAGATTAAACACCTGGCAGATAACAGATAAAACACCTGACAGATAAACACCTGACAGATGAAACACCTGACAGATAACAGATAATCACCTGACAGATAAAACACCTGACAGATTAAACACCTGGCAGATAACAGATAAAACACCTGACAGATAAACACCTGACAGATGAAACACCTGACAGATAACAGATAATCACCTGACAGATAAAACACCTGACAGATTAAACACCTGGCAGATAACAGATAAAACACCTGACAGATAAACACCTGACAGATGAAACACCTGACAGATAACAGATAATCACCTGACAGATAAAACACCTGACAGATTAAACACCTGGCAGATAACAGATAAAACACCTGACAGATAAACACCTGACAGATGAAACACCTGACAGATAACAGATAATCACCTGACAGATAAAACACCTGACAGATTAAACACCTGGCAGATAACAGATAAAACACCTGACAGATAAACACCTGACAGATGAAACACCTGACAGATAACAGATNGTGAGACTGAGACCAGCACCAGAGACAGGTAAGACTGAGACCAGAACAAGAACCAGGTGAGACTGAGACCAGCACCAGAGACAGGTAAGACTGAGACCAGAACAAGAACCAGGTGAGACTGAGTCCAGAAAAAGAACCAGGTGAGACTGAGAGCAGAACATGAGACAGGTGAGACTGAGACCTGAAAAAGAACCAGGTGAGACTGAGAGCAGAACATGAGACAGGTGAGACTGAGACCTGAAAAAGAACCAGGTGAGACTGAGACCAGAACAAAAACCAGGTGAGACTGAGACCGGAACAAGAGTCAGGTGAGACTGAGACCAGTACCAGAGACAGGTGAGACTGAGACCAGAACAATAACCATGTGAGACTGAGACCGGAACAAGAGTCAGGTGAGACTGAGACCAGTACCAGAGACAGGTAAGACTGAGACCAGAACAATAACCAGGTGAGACTGAGACCCGTACTAGACACAGGTGAGACCAAGACCTGAACAAAAGCCAGGTCAGTCACAGGCCTGGTTTAGTTCTGACCCAGAGACTAAGACCAGAACTGTAACTRACTGAGCCTCAGACTTGTAAAGCTGAGCCTAGGTTCTGTTCTTCTGAGTGTAGATCACAGATCTGTGTGAGGGGGTCATCAGGGTCCACGCCCCCCTAAACACCAAGTTCTCCATGGCGATCCAACTGGACGAACGGACGACAGCCAAAGATGTCACAAGTCGTTTTGAGTCAGAGTCCAGGTAAGACATACACCTGTCGGTCCAGGTGAGGTTCTGTTCCTGAGACCTGACCCCTATCWTGTCTGCCCATAGCCCTGCAGCCCAACGTCTGTATGAAGTCGGAGGAAACATCTGTGAGTCTCCCATGACATCATCAATAAACACCTGGATGTTAGAATACTTGACAACCTGTCTGTCTCTACTTGTCTGTCTTAGATGAGCGCCGCCTCCACCCAGACTGCAATCTGCTGGATGTGTACAGAGTCAATCCTCACTGTGATTGGCTGATCAAACCCTGATGAGCAGATCCAATCTTCTCTGTGATTGGCTGACAAGTACCTGTGGAACACTTCTGATCTAACTGATAATCAATAATCGATTTGTTTACAGTTGAAAAAACAATAAAAACATTCAGATTCTGCAGTGTGTCCTCAGCCAGTCAACAAAACACAAAACACACACAGAAAACACACCTGATAGATAAACACCTAACAGATAAATATCTGACAGATGAAACACCTGACAGATAAAACACCTGATAAATAAACACCTGACAAATGAAACACCTGACGATTAAAACACCTGACAGATGAAACACCTGTCAGATAACAGATAAAACACCTGACAAATAAACACCTGACAGATAACAGATAAAACACCTGACAGATAAACACGTGACAGATAAACACCTGACAGATAACAGATAAACACCTGACAGATTAAACACCTGATAAATAAACACCTGACAAATGAAACACCTGACGATTAAAACACCTGACAGATGAAACACCTGGCAGATAACAGATAAAACACCTGACAGATGAAACACCTGGCAGATAACAGATAAAACACCTGACAGATGAAACACCTGTCAGATAACAGATAAAACACCTGACAGATGAAACACCTGGCAGATAACAGATAAAACACCTGACAGATGAAACACCTGTCAGATAACAGATAAAACACCTGACAGATGAAACACCTGGCAGATAACAGATAAAACACCTGACAGATGAAACACCTGTCAGATAACAGATAAAACACCTGACAGATGAAACACCTGGCAGATAACAGATAAAACACCTGACAGATGAAACACCTGTCAGATAACAGATAAAACACCTNAAGACTGAGACCAGAACAAAAACCAGGTGAGACTGAGACCAGCACCAGAGACAGGTAAGACTGAGACCAGAACAAAAACCAGGTGAGACTGAGACCAGCACCAGAGACAGGTAAGACTGAGACCAGAACAAAAACCAGGTGAGACTGAGACCAGCACAAGAACCAGGTGAGACTGAGACCCGAACAAGAACCAGGTGAGACTGAGAGCAGAACATGAGACAGGTGAGACTGAGATCAGAACAAGAACCAGGTGAGACTGAGACCCGAACAAGAACCAGGTGAGACTGAGACCAGAACCAGAGACAGGTGAGACTGAGATCAGAACAAGAGACAGGTGAGACTGAGAGCAGAACAAGAACCAGGTGAGACTGAGACCAGAACATGAGACAGGTGAGACTGAGACCAGAACCAGAGACAGGTGAGACTGAGAGCAGAACAAGAACCAGGTGAGACTGAGACCAGAACATGAGACAGGTGAGACTGAGACCAGAACATGAGACAGGTGAGACTGAGAGCAGAACATGAGACAGGTGAGACTGAGACCAGAACAATAACCAGGTGAGACTGAGACCAGGACAAGAACCAGGTGAGACTGAGACCAGAACAAGAACAATGTGAGACTGAGACCCGAACAAGAACCAGGTGAGACTGAGACCAGAACATGAGACAGGTGAGACTGAGAGCAGAAAATGAGACAGGTGAGACTGAGACCAGGACAAGAACCAGGTGAGACTGAGACCAGAACAAGAACAAGGTGAGACTGAGACCCGAACAAGAACCAGGTGAGACTGAGACCAGAACAAGAACCAGGTGAGACTGAGACCAGAACAAGAACCAGGTGAGACTGAGACCAGAACAAGAAC